TATATATATATATATATATATAGAGAGAGAGAGAAAACGTGTGAAGACAAAGGACCATCTAGCAACGTAGTGCGAGAAAATGTTATATCACGACTACAGTAGAAGACACTATGAGGTCCTGCGATGCATCGATGCATCCATTTAGGACTGTCCAAAAAATGTGGTCTTAGAGTATTTCCACGCATGCGGAGCCATTTCGTTCAGGAAATCATCGCTAATGAGAACGCAGAAATTACCATCCATACACGAGTAAGTGATGCAATTAGAATGAAAGTGGATCAACCGGACATCCTGATATACAATAAGAAGTGACGTGGAGTAATCCTGACAGAGATTTTCATCACTAATCAGGACAAGTTGGTAGCAGTCGAGACCAAGAAGAGAAAATACGATCTACTGGCTAATAAACTCCTGGCAGAGATGATTGCAGGATGAAAATAATTCTGTATATGATGACTTGAGATGAGATAGTGACGAACTTCCACAATCGTTCCGCGAAGGAAATCTGATCACGTTGAGGCATATATCCAGTCGATAATGCTCGAGAAAATGTTCGAAAGCATCTCAATCGATCAGCGCCGTGGATACCACGAGGACGAAGCAGTGGAGATCAGCACAACAGAACTGAGCGCGGGGCGAGTGCAGTGAGAATGTCAGAATACGTTTCAGCGCCAGAATCAATAATGAAGAAAAGAAGAATAACCTGCGTGTGATATTAATTTTTGATATATATATTATATATATATATAGCTAAGGATATTATATATATAACAGATTATATACATAATCTGCTACATAAAACGACAATATTAACAAATATTTATTTATTTATCATGAAACTGTTTCCATAATTTTCCATGATCAATGTTAACGGTACTATTTCCTTTAGGAACAGCTCCATTACCTATGTAAACAGTTCCATGCCTTATATATTAAAATTAAAAACATTGCAGAATAAATGTGTCAAAATTGGCTGTGCCAAAATACCACCATAAAATATAATAAATGAAGCAAATAACAACAGAAACTTGTTGTGAAAGAACTGAATTCGACCAATTCATAGCAAGTTAATAGTGACAGAAAATCAATTTGCACTATAGAAAATTGAAA